GGCGGTGCGCCTTTCACCTGCTTTGCTTGTGGCCAACCAGGTCACAAAGCTACTGAATGCCCTCAGAACTCAGCTGCTTAGAAGTCTCAGTTCAAGGGATCTGCTACTCGTGGACGTCTCAACCATTTGGACGCCGAGGAAGCACAGGCTGCCCCTAACGTTGTGTATGGTATGTTTTTAGGTAATGGCAATACTGCATCAGTTCTATTTGATTCTGGAGCAACTTGTTCATACATATCATCCAAGTTTGCATGAGAGCATGACCTGCCTGTAACCCCACGTGAAAAGCCTATCATCACCAGCTCACCTTTAGGAGACCTAAAATGCACCCACATCTGTAAGGGAGTGAGTCTTACCATTGAGGGTCTTGCCTTTAAAGCCGACCTAACCCTGTTACCTTCCACTAACCTAGATGTCATCTTAGGCATGGACTGGTTAACCATTCACCGAGGTATCATATCATGTTCACCTAGATACGTCCAAGTGACCCACCCATTGGGCCAAGTCATTAGATGTGAACCCCAGTCTGGAAAGTCCACCTCTATCCTATGTGCCCTTAAAGCAAGTTCAGAATCACAAGAAGAGGAAAAGATAGTTCATGATGTGCCTGTGGTCAGAGACTATCCCGATGTATTCCCTGAAGAATTACCGGGTATGCCACCAGACCATGATGTAGAGTTCATCATTGATCTTTTGCCAGGAATAGGACCCATTGCCAAGAGACCCTATCGCATGTCAGTCGGTGAACTGGCCGAGCTCAAGAAATAGCTTGATGAGCTCATCTCGAAGGGATATATTAGACCCAGTGCTCCACGCTGGGGATCCCCTATTCTGTTTGTTAAGAAGAAGGATGGCTCAATGAGAATGTGCATTGATTACCGGAACTTGAACGCAGTCACCATCAAGAATAAGTATCCCCTGCCAAGGATTGATGATTTGCTTGATCAGCTTAGAGGTGCTAAGTATTTCTCCAAGATTGATCTCAGATCTGGATATCATCAGATAAAGATTCGAGAGAGTGACATACTGAAGATAGCTTTCATGACTAGGTATGGACAGTTTGAGTTCACTGTGGTATCCTTTGGACTCACGAATGCACCTGCATACTTCATGAACATGATGAATAAGGTTTTCATGGATGATCTGGATAAGTTCGTGGTAGTATTCATTGATGACATCCTTGTCTATTCATCCACCGCTGAAGAACACGAACATCATCTGAGAACTGTTCTTGAGAAACTAGCCCAACATCAGCTCTACGCAAAGTTCAGTAAGTGTGAGTTTTGGCTACTGGAAGTTGCCTTCCTAGGCCATGTACTATCAGCTGAAGGTGTTGCAGTTGACCCAGCTAAGATTGAGGCTGTGAAAGAATGGGAACAACCCTGTAATGTGACAGAAGTCAGAAGTTTCTTGGGATTGGCTGGATATTACCGCCGATTCATCGAAAACTTCTCCAAGATAGCTCGTCCGATGACCAACCTTCTGAAGAAGACTAAGGAGTTTGAATGGACGCCCGAGTGCGAACAAAGCTTCCAGGAATTGAAACGGAAGCTTACCACAACTCCTGTGTTGGCATTGCCTGATATCAGCAAAGATTTCATGGTCTATTGTGATGCATCCCATCAAGGACTTGGTTGTGTATTGATGCAAGATGGAAGAGTGATAGCTTATGCTTCCCGACAGCTGAAAGAACACGAGAACCGTTATCCAACTCATGATCTTGAGTTAGCAGCCGTTGTGCATGCCTTGAAGATCTGGAGGCACTACATGATAGGCAATAAGTGTGATATCTACACCGATCACAAGAGCTTGAAGTACTTTTTCACTCAAGAAGATCTGAATATGAGGCAACGCCGATGGCTAGAGTTGATCAAGGACTACGACCTGGAAATTCATTATCATCCGGGAAAAGCTAATGTAGTCGCAGATGCCCTCAGTCATAAGAGTTACTGTCACACTTTGATCACTGAATCCGTACCACCAGAGCTCAAGGAAGAGATTGATGATTTTCAACTGGAGATACTACCGCATGGCTTATTGAATGGGCTCCGTATACAGTATGATCTCACAGATCGCATCTATCAAGCTTAGAAAAATTGTGAGGAGATTGAATATCTCCATGGTCTGATGAAACTAGGCTACAAGACCAACCACCATGAAGATGAACAAGGGACCATCTGGTTCAAAGACAGAATCTGTGTACCTTCTGATCCAGCCCTACGAGAGGAAATTCTGTCAGAAGCCCATGACTCCAAGTACTGTATTCACCCTGGAGGTTCAAAGATGTATCAAGACTTGAAGAAACACTTTTGGTGGAAAGGTATGAAGACAGACATTGCAGGACATGTGGCACGATGTGATACCTATAATAGAGTCATGGATGGACACCAAAGGCCTGTAGGATTGCTAAAGCCTCTTGACGTTCCCAAGTGGAAATGGGAGAGTATATCCAAGGATTTCATAGTTGGATTGCCCCGTTCACAGAAAGGCAATGATTCCATCTGGGTGATTGTTGATCGTTTGACCAAGATTGCTCACTTTGTACCAGTGAAGACCAAGACCAATGTAGAAAAATTAGCAGATCTATATATTGAGCATATTCTCAGACTGCATGGAGCTCCCTCCAGTATTGTATCTGATCGTGGTCCTCAGTTTGTGTCCCGATTCTGGGAAGCTCTGCACAAGTCTATTGGAACCAAACTTGATTTCAGTACCGCTTACCACCCACAGACAAATGGACAGATAGAGCGAGTAAATCAGATCTTAGAAGACATGCTTCATGCTAGTGTACTGAATTATGGCTCTGATTGGGAGAAATGTTTACCCTATGCAGAATTCTCTTACAACAACAGCTACCAAGCCAGTATCAAGATGTCGCCGTTTGAAGCTCTGTATGGCAGACCTTGTAAGACACCTTTGATGTGGTCTTAATTGGGTGAAAGATCGTTCTTTGATTCCGCTAAGATTCAAGATGCAGAAGAGGGAATTGCTCAAGTAAAGGAGAATTTGATGTGGTCGGGTCCAAATGGTGTCAAGAAGCTGCTGAAAAAATTTCAGATTTTTCGGATAAACGAGCGAAAAGTTATGCCTGTTTTACCGAAGGTATCTCAAGGTATGTTTTCCAGGAGGCACAACACGGCGGCGGCAGTTAGGGCAAAACGTCCCTAAACTCTAACACCGATCACAGCAGTAGGTATTCACTTTGATGATGTAAGGAGGGCTGCGATGCAGCAAAATAAGAGCGGTGGCAACCTATCTAGGGCTTCTTGGCGGCGGCGAAGTTACACAAAAGGCTAAGCGGGGCAAGTCGAGTAATGTGGTGGCTTCGACTTGTTGTTGATGGGATAGCGGCGGAAAACAAAAATCACAACAACGGGCGCGATTGAACTACGACCACGAACACAATCCTAAACCAGCAACAAGACTCGACCACGGACACAAACTCAACAACACGAATCTGAAACGAAATTGCAAAGGCACAAAGGGCGATAGGACAGCGGAAATTGAAATATTTTTGGGCTTTTTGTGGACTCTAGGTAATGAACAAATATGAATCTAAGACAAACGAGATTATACCTCGCGATAAACCTGAAATATCGATACCAATTGATGAGTACAGCCCGATCTTCCGAGAGGTAGCCGGTAAGTTCGATATGTGGAGATCTCGGCGTTGGCGATCCGGCTTCAAATCGAGGCGCGATTCAACCCTGCAACCGTTACACCATTGCTCCGTTGGTTATCAACCAAGCACAACTTGATTGACCTCGCCAAGAAGGCTTTTCCCGCAAGCGAATCGAAGAGCACAAGCAAGAAGGTAAAACACGCCAATCTGATATTGCAAATATGAATGACGCGAATATCAATAGAGGGTTCAAGAACTTCGGTTCCAAAGGACTAATCGACACGATGGAGGAGATCGAGAACGGGCCCTGGATCACTTTGTAAAAGGATTTGTCACCACAGTTACAATGAACGATTCAGTTTCTCGATGGAAAACTAAACTCTAAACAAAACCCAATTGTGTAGCAGCGGCGACGGCTGTGTTTATAGTCTAAGACTCGACCTAGGGTTGGGGACGGCCAGGGGTTGGGCGCCCACAACTTGGGCTTAAGGCCCGACACGATACATGGCCAAGTTGGCCCAAATAGGTGACGCAGCACCTTGCCGTGGTCACACAGAATGATCCACGGACCTTCTGGAACTGGGACCAGATCCAAAACGACGGCGTCGTCGTCCCCTTTCCAACGCATCCAAGAACGGCCCGTTTCGACGTCGTATGAGGAAGTTATGACCGAAACAGTGACGACGTGTCTGCTGAATCCGAGGGTGACGTGGCAGCTGAGTTGGGAACGAATTGCAACTTGGGAAAGACCATGGCGTCGGTGTGTCCAGCGTGGCGATGTCCTCATCACAATGCTCATAGGGTTGGAAGTGGCCAGTACAAATCGTACTGATAAATTTTGGCACACAGGTTCTGCTGAGTAGTATAGCTCCGAGGAGTTTGACGGTTGAGGGGTTCGTTCCTACGCTCGAGTTTGGCGATCTTATCTTCAAGTTGTCCTGAATGAATGCTACTTTTGATTCCGCCAATGCGGCGATGTAATAAATTTATGTAATTCCGCGCTATTTGTACTCTGATATTATCGTGATATGGATGTGATATTTGACTGGAATTTGAGTAATATGATCTACAACGTTCTTATTACACTTCGACTCTGTGGATTTTCCTTCGCGGGAATCGGGGTTGTTTCACATAGTCAACGTACAGGTATACGATAACTAGGATATATGATCGGTTTCTTCGGTTTTCAGTGAATCGGTTGTAACAGCCCAGTCAACGTTCCCCACCTCTCCTAGATTGTAGGATCTACCGTTAGCAATGATTGGCTGGCCACTGTGGTCAGAGCTCTGCTCCTGTATTTGGGACGTCCCTGTATTTGTATCTCTACCGAGTGTAATAGAAGCTGCGCTATCATTCTCCAGTTCCATCTCTTACACGCATGGCCAACGCCAAGGGCTCGTCCGCCGGCGCAGCAGGCCATGGCGACCTCGGCAGGGCCATTTCGCACGAGCAGCACTACCAGGCGTTCATGGCTTCCGTGCGCCCGGGCGCCGCGAACGTGCACCAGCACCAGCACTTCCACCAGTACCCCGCCGGCCTGATCCCAGCGCCGGTGGCAATGCCGCCGGTTCACGTACCGGTGTCATCACAGACCCCGTACTCCGCCCAGATGATCGTGGTGCCGCCGCCACAGCCGCTCATCCCACCTCCAGACCACCGCATGCACTCCCTGCCGCCTACCGGTCAGTACCCCGGACCACGCACATGCTGAATTACGCTTTGGAGCATCCGTGATCTTGTAGTTATATTAGCGGATTTTATGCTCTCGTCATGATTAGCTCCCGGTTTTGACAAAACTTATGATTGGCAAGCTGTGTTTCATCGTTGCACAAAGTTATCTGTGTTCTACGGGTTCAGAGCCATTTTGACACACTTCTAAGATCTCCTTTTGCCATTTTAATCTCACTTCAGGTGGCACTGATCGATCACTGAGAAAATCTTTCAACAAGTTACCATTTGTAGCTAGCCATGCATATATAGTGATTCTTTTTTATCTCTGGTGATAGATAGCCATGTATATGTACTCCTAGATACTATATGATTAGCGTCTTCCTGCTGGGATCATGTCGTTCACTATCTTTGCCAGCTTTGCTTTCATATTCTCCAGGTTGCTACCAGGATTATTCTCCATATGGCAACACTGCAACCATGAATATGCTCCAAACTCCTTCCTTTCACAGCAACCATCATGTCAAAGAGTCAGGTATATATATGCATGTACATTTGGCACTTAAAAATGGAATATCCTCATGAATTTGTTTATTGTAGTGGACTGGTCACCGGTGGATTGTTTCTAAATAGTGGGACTAGTCAATTAGAGGACCTCGGAGCCCGTGCAAAGCTAGAGAAAAATAGTGGGGGGGGGGGCTTGGTCTTTGGGTGCATAGAGTTGAACTTGGGGTACAAATATGGTGAATAATTGATAGCAATGATTGATTTCTTGTTTTGGCGTGGGTGTGGCCACATGCCCGCATCCACGCTGTCCTATATGGATCCGTTGCCCCGGCTCGGAGCCATGATATCATCCTGTTCGGGAGGCCGTATCGTATCGTGGATTATTTACTGCTGGCTGGTTTGATGTGAGAGAAAAACACTGTTCCCGGTTGAAAATTTACGATCGTTTACGAGCAAGCGAACAGGCTGATGACGTAGATAAAGAAAGGATATAGTAGTATTTTGCTTGCTTGTATTCATTAATGCTATAATTTCCTCCTTTCTAGAGATTATTGCCTCTAGCAAGACCTCTAACAAATTAACAAACCAAATCCCTGATCACAACAAGTTCATTTTGTCTAATGATATAATTTACCTTGATTTATAAATAACTAGCTCAATATTCTTATTTGAGTGGTCGTAGCTTGACTTGTGGTGCCACCATGCATAGATGCAAACCCACATAAGATTTTGACACTATGTTATTTTGGAGTGGAGGGACCCTATCTTGAGGGTTTTGCTTTTAACTCATGAGAACTTGAGGGAAAAAGGTGTGTATACAAGTGAAGCTGTTTCAAGTAGAAATGGTTTGTCGCATTCATCATTATAGCGTAAGGGTTGACCACGTGAAGTATGGTAGCGATATATGTCAAATAGGGGCATGGTGGTCTTTTTCTCTTAGTAGATTCCTTCCAAGACCAGAGTCTCATTTAGACATGTCAACCCCCTTAGTCCGCCAAATGTCAAGGTAGATTCATCAGCTATTTTTGGTAAATACGACCCCACCTAGGACCTGCAGATATTTTAGATAAACTGCCCACCCCTTTTCTAACTCTTATGCAAGTTTTTGCATCCACGACCTCCTACAAGGATTCTACTTCAGCCGTTCATAGGGAATTTAGAGGCAAAGCATGAGTATTTACATGAGGGAGGTCCATGAGAGGTTTCAGTTGCTATTTTGGGCGGCGTGCCGGTTAGTGGTTGCATGGGAGGGGTATTATATATACTCTGATTAATTTCTAAACAGCCTTAATTTCAGAATTAGTTCCACTCAAAAGTCGAAAGCGCTCCGCGCCCTGTTCTTTACTGAAACACAAAAGCGGCTAGATAGATTTATTTTATTTTCCTTGGAGAGCAAGGAACATTTAATTTATTTGCGATAGAAAGTGCGGGGTTACATTATGATTAATTTATAAACATCCCGAGCGCAAATATCTTTTTTTTCCAATGCATCCAAGTGCATGTATCATAAATATGTGATACTGATACAGCAGCCCAGTCTCTAAACCTCTGCATTTTGTTAACAAAAATATATGCATGTCATGCAGCTATATATATGGTTTGAAATAAAAGGAGAAATGTACTGTGCGTTGCTTCATTACATATCATTTGATGGTGCACAGGTGCAGGGTTTTCAAATAGCTTTAACATGGCCCCATCAGTGCCACCTACATCCCCTTTTCAACTTATGTCCCCAAGCTCAACCAACTACACTTCCACCCAAATCTTCGAGGAAACCAACAATTTAAAGGTAACAGTGCTAGGACTCTTTTAGAGTATGGTGAAAATGTTTTTTGATCATATGAGCAGTTTATAGTGTCATGATTCTCCAGGACACTTCAAGAGTCTTTGGAGGTTGGGATAACGTATGCAACAACAGTGAGGAACCGGATCCCACTCCAGCTGTGGAGATGGAAGACCTAAACCAGGGCAATGGGCATATTAATGTTACGAATAAAATAGTATGTTGTCTTTTTAATGCATCATGTGCTTTGTTGATACTATTAGTATTTTCTATACAGGATTAACACATTATTTAACTCAAGAAAATAATTTTACTCATTCATTGTTTAGGAATAAAGACAACTATTTGTTATTCTTTAGGACTAAGGGAAATGAATTCACAATTTTCAACCAGTTCATTCCGCCTTTAAAATTTTATTGTAAAATAATACTTAAACCTGGTGACCTTATGGCAATGAGCAGGAGAATAATGTTTTTAGATGGATAAACATGATTTTAGGTAGCTAAAATGTACTGTAGAAGGTATCAATCTTCAGTAGGTATTACTGGTATGCCAAAATCCATTGCTGACCACTTAAACAATCATCATATTTGGTGGCTTCCTCCTGAACCAAGTCCCATTCTTTCTCATATGCCAATATGTTACATACAAAAGGCCAACTGTCAAGATTACCAAATGGTCTTGCGCAAGGACTTGACAAACAGTGATGTTGGAAACATTGGAATAATTGTGCTGCCAAAGGTAGATACTTGCACTTGCATATCCTGTTAATTGGGCTTTACTCTCTAGTATGTTCACTGTGTTCTACATATATTTCCAGCACGCACCAAAGCTATAATGCAAGTAAATTTTTAACTGTGTGAGCTGCAAATCATCTTGCAATTTCACTTTTTTCTGAATTATGTAGAAGGATGCTGAGCGTAACCTTCCAATCTTGGAATATAACGATGGCCTGATACTGGAAATGGACGATTTTGAGCTCCCAGCTGTATGGAAGTTTAAGTACAGGTATCTTCACCAAATTGTACTACTATTGGTTGCTCAGACGTCAGAGTTTCTGATGATCATCAGTTTAGAGTGAACATTTGCCTGTAATTTCTCCAGATGCCAAAAAGTAAAACGCTTACATAGTGCAAGCCTCAGCTTTGAGGATTGATATATCTGCCTGTTGCTTGGCAATTGAATTTTATCATGCTGATGCAATACATTTTCTTTCAGGTACTGGACTAATAATAATAGTAGGATGTATATCTTGGAAACTAGAGGTAGGTTGATCATAGAGTAAAAGTAATTCCGAACTTGGAACTCTATATATATGTCAACGAATTGCATGCCCTATATTCTCAGGTGAATTATTTGTTAAGAGGCATGGGCTTCAAGCTAGGGACATCCTCATCATTTACAGGAAATCTGGCAGATATGTATGTAAAAGTTACATTATCCACTTCCTTCTGTCAGCTACATTCTGCTGTATTATTGTTACTCTGATCATATCCATCTTCCACCCTTTTCCATCTAAGAGTTACTCCATCTGTTCCAAATTGTAATTTGTACTGGCTTTTCTATGTACGACATAACTTTTGTTACGCATCTAGATGTATTTATGTCTCCTAGAAAAAGCCAGAATAGCTTACATTTGGAATGGAGGGAGTACTACTTTCCTTTGTATGGAGTACTATGCATGTATTCTCTCATTTCTTTTCCTGACAGCTCTACTCAATCCTCCCATGCCTCTCCTCTCTGTGCTAAGGTTGCCCGTGCGGTGAAGGCTGAGGACATACCAGCGCCAGAATGCGAGTGCATCAAGTCAGGCATCCCCAGAGAAGAGTGCGGATTCTCCTTCAGTCCTTTGATCAGGAAGAGATCATAGAGAGGGTGTGGCCTATAAAAAGTTTTCCACTTTGGGCTGGCACGTCAGCTAATGGATTGTGATCGGGATGTGATCCTTTAATAGTTTAGGGACCTAGATATGCAATTTCCTTGTTTGAGGACCTAGATGAGAATCGTGTGATAGTTTAAGGACCGTTGGTGTAATTTACTCACTAGTAAAACTGAAGTAGCCATGGTCTGCTCCTTCCCTCTATGAAAGGTGATGTATGGAGGGCTGAAAGGGACACCTCTCCCATCCTTTGTTATCTGTGTTTTGTGCTTGTGGAACCGGATTTTACACATATACTAGCATGTAAATATCTAACATAGTAGACGAACCAAATAATATAGGCAACCGTGGACCAGACGTGTCTACACCCCTCGCCTCGGTGAAGCGAGCCCACATGTGGAGGTTCTCTTCTCTCTCTCCCCCCACACTAGTATTGAAGAAGTGGACAGTGTTTCCATATTTAAGTATAGCAGCCTCCCCCTCAACTAGCAATGTGAGACTAAAGTTCCCACTCCCCCATATGCACACATGAATGGATCTTTGAGATTTATTTTGAATTATTGAGAATTTCTATTGGGCCAAGCCCACATATTGCAACATAAAATTGATACACCAATATGCTTATTCATTCACCCTACAACTTTGTCACACACGCACTAACACGGGCACAGATTACCTGCTATGTCATTGGCGCATTAGCAGTGGCTAATGACATGAAGGCGGCTCAGCCGTCATCTCCATCCCTTCGCCAGGAACGACCTCATAAGGCCTTGAAGTGTCGAACTTAGCTATGCTTGAAGGGGCACTATCCCCCTGCTAAACATAACCTAGTCATTGTTGGCCCTCACTGTTCCATCTGCATATTCATGGCTATTCCTCTATGCACTTTGGTCTTCCAATGAATATGCGCCATATGTCTATGGTGAAACGGGCCATTTAGGAGACAACTGCCCTGAGACCCAAGAAGATGCTAGTTACATCAATAACAACAACAGGTTTCATCCTCAACAAACTAAAACAAAGGATAGAATTCATGACCAAACTATCAAGGAGGTGATAATTTCAATGGTTACAACAACAGTCAACCTTCTCTTAATGATCTTGCCCTTTGTCAAGCTAAAATCAATGATAACATCAGTAAAAAAAAAGCTTCTTGGTAATTATAAGGTGCTAGAGAACATTAATTCTAAGACGGAAAATTTATCATTTGAGATGAAAAATCAGCTAAGTTTTAATAAAATGTTAGAAACCCAACTCGCGCAATTAGTTGCTCCAATCTCATCTTTTGAAAGAAGAAAGATTCCAGGGCAACAAGAGACTATTCCTAATAGAAATGTGAGTGTGGTAACCACAAGAGGTGGAAAGACCATTCAAAATCCACCGTATCCTTCTCAAACTAGGAAGAAGGATGTTACACTCCAGGCGCCCCAAAAACCCAAAATGTCATTAGTGTTCCTTCCCTCATGCCAAAGCGCAAAAACTCGGCATCACACACCCATCAACATACAAAGTAAACGCAGAAGCATCAACAAGAACAAATCTATGATTAAGATAGATTCCAACACAATGTTTTTATTAAACCACAAAGGGTCACCATATTGACAAACTAAATTTATTATAGTTAGCCAAAGCATTACTATTATTACTAAGTGTGGGTGAAAACAATGAAGATGTGCTACTAAACTCATCTGTAGGGACCGTGACACCTAAGAGGGTGGAGTGAATGAGTCAACTTAAAATCTATTTCTCTAACTATGGCCTCTTCCAACCTTAGCAAAACCTATGCAATAAAGTAAACTATTTAAATGTGCAACTAAGGTTTTGCTAGATGTGTTGCTATCTCTACAGCAAAAGAGTTATGCAACCTAGGTTCCAATCCTATCAACTAGCCTATCAACTAAGCTAGAAAGGTAAAGCACATAACCAAGGTAATAATGTAAATGCGGAAGCTTAAGTGAGGTAGAGATGAAAACTACCGTCGATGACTCTGGTATGTTTACCAAGGTACTAAGAAGCGCGCAAGCTTTCACCTAGTCCTCCTTGGAGCCCCTCGCAAGGGCAAAGGACCTGGTCAGGTAACTCCGTGGATAGTCTCGGGCCTTCCCCATGCGCAAGTGAGTCTCGAATGTGCCTTCCGGCAAGGCTCTCCCGATGCTCCCCGCCATCTCCACTATCAAGCTTTCGGCTAACAGGCCTTTTACCCTTCGATATCTTCGCATCAGGAGCCAGCTCATTGGGAGATAGTGTTCGCTCTGGGTAGGCTATCAGCATAGCACCCGGTTCAGCCAAGCTTTTCTGGCTAGGCTATATGGAGTTTTTCCTTCTCTTCTTTCTTCCCATAAGGCCCACAAATTTTCTTCACTTCATGCTCAACATTATTCACGAACGTAGGATCGTTCGGAAAATTTGTCAGACGCTGGCTGTTCAGAGTCGATCCAAGATAACCCTCCTTTTTGACAATGTTCTTAAACTGATAATAGCTACATAGGGGTGGGCACCTAGCCACAATCCACTCTTCCACAAGGTCACTGCTAGTCTGCCACCATGAAGTCAACGTGAAAGCGTCGCCAGATCGCACCACCTCGGCGCTAGATGTCGAAAAGTTAGGTTTTTGCAGCGTAGTCATCTGAGTCAGCTACGAAACCATGGGCGATGCGCGAGACATATTATTAGCCCCAGCCTCTTTGACCTTGGCATCGGTGCATATCCGATGATAGAACCAGTAATCCCTCCAGTGTAGCCACTTATATCAGTAAGTGGGGACAATGCTGACGATGCCTTGTGTCTTCAGTATGAAGTTAAATGAACCGTATTCGGCAAGCACTTCCTCCCAGTCGTTAGATCCTTAACTTTCTTCTGATCGAGTAGAATCTCCTAAAACCAAATGAAAGTTGTTGGCCCATAGGATCACCGGCTCAGGTGAGTGAACCACTCACCAGTCTTGCTGAGCACCCGCTAGTGTTGCCGAGCACCCACTAGCCGTGTCAACCACGAACAAGCGTTGTCCGTCCCCACACACTATGGCTAAAGCTAGAAGAAGAAGGGAGAACAGAGCACACACACAGTACAAGACACCAGCGTTGGCCAAAATCCTGTATGGGAGATGGCAAATCTGAACTCTCTTTACTGAGTTGCGGTGGTAGTCTATTTATACAACTCTATCCATCTAGTCCCAGTACAGCTGCCCTGCTGCAATAGTGACTAGATAACATACAGGGCTGACTCTGCACCGGCCTCTACATGTGCCTACAGTGCTGCAGGTGAGCCGTGCGGTGCCTGCACCTACAACGGCTATAGTATCATAGCAGGGGGGCTTTCGGCGCCGCTTTCTCTTGTTGTGTTCACACAAGGTAGCAGCAGATTATCTAACAATCTTCCCCTAATCCTACTACTAACCCTTGTACCCCCTCCATGCCGATCATCTCCTTCAGCTCCGTGAGTCGAAGACGTCCAAGTGGCTTGGTGAGGACGTCCGCGAGTTGCCGACCAGTTTCGACAAACTCGATGATGATCTGCCCTCCATCAACACAGTCCCTGAGGAAGTGGACCTTTATCTATGTGTTTACTCCGGTCGTGTAGAACCGGATTCTTCGCGAGGGCGATAGCCGGCTGGTTGTCCACCATCAGTGGTGGTGGGTGAGCTTCCACACCGGTCAGCTCGCCCAGCAGCCGACGTAGCCACACAACTTGGCACGCCGCTATGGTCGCCGCTACGTACTCTGCCTCACATGCAGATAGCGCCACCACCTTCTGTTTCAGCGACAACCATGAAATTGGGGCTAACCCAAGGAAGACGAGCACGCTAGAGGTGCTCCGTCATCCGTCGATATCCCCCACCATGTCTGCATCGTTGAACACAGTGAGTTGCAGCCTACTCCCGCCGGTCTTAGGAAAGATGATCCCCTAATCCACCATCCCTTTGACGTAGCGCAGTAGCCGCTTCACCGTAGCCCAGTGATCCTCTCTGGGATCCTCCATGAAGTGACTGACGTAGCCCACGGCGAACGCAATGTCTGGCCTCGTGTGGACTAGGTAGCACAGACCGCCGACGATGCTCCGATAGAGTGTTGCAACCACCTTCGCCGCGGTGCTGGCCTTTGTCAGCTTCAACCGCTCCTCCATCGGAGTCACGCATGGCTTGCACTCAGCCATGCCGCTCCTCTCTAATAGCTTGGAGGCATACAAGCTCTGACCGAGCGTGAGTTCCTCCTTCCCCTATCTCACCTCGATGCCGAGGTAGTTGGAGAGTGCGCCGAGATAGCTCATTCGAAAACGAGCTGCCATCTCGCGCTTGAAGCTGTTGATGTCCTCCATGCGCGCACTGGTGATGATTAAGTCATCCACATACACGCCGACGATGAGCTCCTCCTTCCCCCATCACCGCGTGTAGAGCGCGTGCTCAGTTGTACACCGCTGAAACCCAAGCTCGCCCAGCGTGGCGTCAAGCTTGGCGTTCCATGCTCATGGGGCCTACCATAGCCCGTAGAGCACCTTGCGCAGTTAGAGCACCCTGTGCTCCTCTCCCTTGATGGCGAAACCTGAAGGTTGCCTGACGAAGACCGTCTCTACCAGTTCGCCATTGAGGAAGGCTGATTTAATGTCCAAGTGATGGACGCGTCAGTCCTTTGCTGCTGCCAAAGCTAGTAGCAAATGAACCGACTCCATGCGCGCTACTGGCGCAAAGACCTCCTCGAAGTCTATGCCCTCATGCTGAACAAAGCCTCGGGTGACGAGACACGCCTTGTGATTGACAATGGTGCCGAGCTCGTCCTGCTTGACCTTGTACACCCACTTTAGGTTGATCGGACGGCATCCTGGAGGTGGATCGACGAGCTGCCAAGTCTCGTTTTCCTTGATCGCCTTCATCTCCTCCAGCATCGCCCGTTGACAGCTTCCGTCCCGCTTGGCCAGCGCGAACGTGGGTGATTCCTCTGCACTGATGAGCAGCAGCTCTGCGTCATTGAGCAACCTACCCACCAGTCCTGAGGGCC